GTGCAATTACTGCTCTGAACATTTAATTTAGGCAAGCCAGGTAGGTGGGTAGGGCATGCTTTTTCGTTGCCCATCTCAGAGGGCCATGGAGCACGATGCTGTCAGGGACACTGGGGGAGTACAAAGGCCACAAAAAGAGCCCCCAGGTTCCAGTACTGGATGCTATCTTCTACAACAATACCATGCCAATGATGACGAAACTAAAATTCAGAAAAATTAATTTCCTGGCCAAGGTCATGTCAAGAGGCAGAACCAAAACTGAAAGTAGACTTTTAAATTTATTTATTTGCCATTTTTGAGTGTTCTTTCATTATGAATGCTAATAGGTCTTACGTTAGGTACAAAAGATTTGTGTCCAAAGTAAAAGAATTTCCACAAAAATCTTTACTTTTGGGTAGTTAAAATTATCAAGTAAAAGAAATGATAATGTGTTTTAAAAAAATGTCACAAATTACCAGGCAGTGGAAGCCCATGGATGTAACTAGGAAAACAAACACTTCCCTTTGTGCTTTAGGGAATTGACTAGCATCCTCTCCAGGGAGCTATGAGCTAGACACCAAATATTAAAGAAAAATACTTCAGGTTTCAATCTGCAGCTCAAATACTCATACAAATATGTGCCACCTAAGGTTCATACGCATGTCTCTGTGTATGTGTTTTGTGTATCTGCGTCTTTATATGCCTGTGCATGCATATGTTTGTGTGTTTGTATATGGACCTCTGTGCACTCATGTATATTTGCACACATGTATGCATGTCTGTGTTATTTGTGTGTACATGTTTGTGTGTGTGCATTTAGGCCCAAGCCACAGTAAGTGAGTGTACATTTCACCTCGGGGACAATCCTGGGCTGACCTGAACGCCAGCACTGTCCTTTACCAGTGTTGCTTGAGCAAGTTACAGTGTTTTTCTGAATCTCTGTATTCTTATCTATAAAATGGCCCCTCTAGTACTCACCAGGAAACAAAAAGGTCAACCAGTGTGTTTTTATTCAGTTAGTTATTTCAGTAATTAAGCTGAATTAATTGCATGTATGCAAATTTCGCTATATTTTGTACACTATTCAATATATATGATTTCTTTCTCAAACCAGTTTTGGTATCTTAATGTGTGGATGGCCTGTAAAAACACTCGTTGTCTTAGTTAGTATTATGGCACCTCCATGAGGGAAAGTTATTTATTTCCACTTATATAAAGGGGAACTGATATTTGAGGTGAAAAAATGTGCCCAGAGTACCCCAGAGAGGTTTTGGAGGACTGGGACACAAGCCCCATGTGGCTCCAGAGCCAGCCTGGCAAACACTCTTTCCTTCACCTCACCTCTGCCCAAGGCTATAAACAAAGAGCAAAATATGGTGGCTGTGGAATTGGCATCCTGACTATCTTTATCCTGCTAATATCTGCCCTCTGCTCTGACACCCATTTCCCCTCGTATACACGCTAGCAAGTGATTTCTTAAGGTCAACCTACCTGTTCTGCTCTGGGGGAGATACTAGGAAGAAGAAGGAATTGGGAAAAATTCAAACTGGAGAGGCAGTGAGTGGTAGCTTCATTAAGACGTGCATGTGCTAACACATTCTAAAAGCACCTGGTGATACTGGCCTTGCCTTGCGTGTTTCTGACAGCCATTTAACTGTTGCCCACCAAGGATTTGCCTATTCAACCCAGGAAGCAAACAGAAGGAGAATCACTGGGACATGACTGTTTAATCCCTTCCTAATCTCTTGAGTCTCATAAGCTCTTTAACTCGTCAAATATTCAACTATAAGAACTTGGTTCACAGAAACATTGTAGTCACAGGAAGCCCAGGTACTGAGCTATGAAAGTTAAGAAAAGCAGAAAACGAAATTTCCAGGGGGTTATGTTGAAACTGAACAGGAAGATCACCTTAAAGCAGGTCATAAGGACATGAGAAATTGCCAGTTAAACCATAAAATGGGTCCAGGGCCAAGATAAAAGGTCCCATGTGGAGATAACTGCCCATTCCTGCCTTTCTTTGTCTCCTTCTGTAAACAGACTTCCTGACACAGGTCCCCCGTTGCTCCTGCCTAACAGCCCCATCCCTGACCCCCAATGCGAGCCCACCTATTAGCAACCAGAACTTTCTAACCCGATTCCCAGAACTGCCCTACAAGAGTCCTGTAATTTCACTGCTAGGGGCCCAGCATTTTGAGTGTGAGCTTATTTGGGACATTGGGCATCAAATAAAGTACTAGTTCTCCTATTTCTCTGAGTGTCACTTGGTTTCTTGTTGGACAATATTTCCGCAATAAAACTAGTTTGAAGCTAGTTAGTGAGAAAGGGGAGCAGAATCCTATTTACAAAATCATTACTTTTGTTTAGAAAGATCTGTGGAATCAATTTTGCACAGAAAATTGCTTAGGAAAAAAAACTCTCAGTAGAGCCCTTCAGAGGCAATTTAATATTTTTAATAAGGCAAATCTTTCTAATTTTCAACTATTTAGCCATGAAATCTTAAAACCCAATGAAAGTCTGTCTTCAATAAATGTTGCTTTACAAATTTTATTGTCTGTTTAACAACCTAAGAATATTAACACTCTTTAGACACTTAAATTCAATCATAGTAACAAATACTGAGCTTTTTAAACTGCCTTCCTTGCAATTTAATATAATTTAGTGGCCATAAGCTATGTGTTTATTTTTCTGATATTTTATGTCTTAAAGTTGTAAGGTTAATTTACTTAGCAAACTACAAATTTTGAAGTAGAATGTCTGTCTCTAAACATTCATTTATAAGCATAAAATATTATATATGTATATATATTTTTACGTATGTACTATATAAACAAATAATGCTTCAGAGGTTTTGCATTAACAGTTCTTCAAAAGATTTGGGCAAGAGTTAGACTCATTATGGAATGATGATATTATGGTACTAGGAGAGGTGACAAGGCCAGTCTCTGTCCATCAGGCAGAAATACGGAGTGATCTCCCTCACTTTGAAAATTTTCTGTCTCTTTAGGACAGTAGATAACACATTGGTCTTGTTTTCAGCAGATTGGGGCTCAAGCTACCTTCAAAGACAGGCTGCTTCTCTGGGACTCAGATACCATGCAGTAAAGAAAATCACACTACCTGCCTCATGGGCTTTTGAGAGGACTTAATTCAACACAATACATGCAAGTGTTTGTACACCAAATCCATCTTTTTCAAGGGAGAACACATTAGGCATCTGCTTAGTTGTTTCTCTGTACATACCTGTTCTGTTTTCATGCCTTTGGCCATGTCAGCAGCATAATCTCACTTGCTGTTTAAAACTCCTCTCTTCCATTGCCAAAGGCTGGTTATAAAGTATTTGTCATGGTCCCAGAGAGCTACAAAAATGTGTGCATAGACAAACCCCAAGCCACTCCACTGCTAGAAAAGCAAATTAGGCCTTGAAGTGTCTATTGATGGGTTCATCTCAGCCATCACCTAAAACTGCAGGCCCTATACATTTCATATCTCACTCTCCAGCCTTACTGCTCTCCATGACAAACTCACCATCATATGTATTCTTTATTTGAGCTTATTTGTCCTATTTGCTTTCTCCTATACTAGAAGGGAAGCTCCATTCAGGTAGGGTAATATAGGGAGTAATATATCTCTGACTAAGACAGTTCCCAGTAAGAGCAATGGTGGATACATAGAAAAATGAATGAATGATGACCAGCACATGACCATTATACAAATGCTCACGTATCTGCAGCCAAAGAAAACCTGGAAACTGTTAGGATGCTTTACTGTGAAACTATATTGTTTGTAATGTTTCAATTCCAATATGTCAAAGCCCATAAAACAATTTGTTCATTTTTAATGTTTCCTACTATTGGTACCATTAGCAGTTTTACATATTTACTTCTCTCTGTGTGTTGGGAGGACAGTTCACACTTTAGAGCTAATCTTAGATTTATAGAGAAACATAAGCTATAAAGAGGGAGTTTTCCCTCTCCTATTAGAGGTATTAGAGCTGAAGAGTAAATTCCAAATCCACTCTATCCAGTCTACCATTTAATGCTCATAAACCCCACTTAAATGCAAGAAACCACAGCATTACTATAAACAGCACTAATAATAAGCTGGGACACAACTTTTTTACTACCCTCTGTTTCCACAGCACTTGAGAGATCTGTCAAATTATTCTGTGGTAATTGGAAAGAGGGGGTTGTGTTAGAAGTCATGGCCTGACTGCTAGTGATGCTGTTTCTATACTTTACTGCTTTGGAATCACTATTTAGAAAGCTATAGCAGTGGAAGATAAGACTGTGGTGATTGTAAGAGGAAGAACCACTGCAGATGGAACAAAAGAATGGAAAATCAAGAAGAAAACAGCTTATATTAGTGCTGCTTTCATGAATCTTTGAGAGGTATTTGCTTTTGTCTTTACACAACCACACAGCAGAGTAGACAAGGTCTGACAGTTCAGGAAAGGGACAATTCTTTCTGGCTGTAATTTCCTCCTGTCTCTGACTCCTTGAGTTTGAAAAACACTTCATTTTTGCAGAATTTTCCTAAATAAAACTCTGCACTTCACTCATACAGGAAGAAACAGAATGTGCTTCTATTTGCACTTCCAGAGACAGTGCAAATGCTTATTTGTTAAATGCTGTTAAAGAGACTGTAAGATGATGCAGATGGTAGTGGTAAAAGTGTCTTAATATCTTCTTTTCCTCCTTTGATTTTCTTCCTTTCTTTCTGAACTTCACTTGGCCACTTTCAGGGAATTTTCCAGTCAAAGCTGCATGATTGGCTATCAGTGAATTAGAGACACAAAGGGCTTTAAATTTATCTTGTCTATTTCCGGAAAGAATGATGCAGTATAGACGGAGAAGAATGGAATGTTTGAAGACATTTGCTTTTTCTACATAGCCTAATTAAGTCTCTAAAATGAGCATACACTGCAACAAATACTTTTATTGCTCTTACTTTTACCCCTTTTGGTTCTTTTTCCACAGACCAAGTAGCAAGGTAGGGAACCTTAGCTGAGACAAGGCACTCACCAGCACTGACAGTGATAGCTTCAATGAATTGTTCTCGCCAGCTGTTTGTCCCCACCACAAGGGCCAGGTTTGTCTTCTTAATGAGTTTGTCCACGGTACTCTAAAAAGGAAGAAAAGAATAAGATAATAACTGCTGGGCTTGTGACGGGCTCGGGAAATCTAAGATTTGTTGACTTAGAAATTTCAGTTATATAAAGGGTAGCAGATGTTAGGCTAGAGCAGCAGTTTTGACATCAAACACTGCTATGATTATGCAAATAAGCATGGTCCTTAATTGGAAACATTCTGGAATGGAAACTTCTTTGCAGCAAAGACAAGCCTCCTTCAGTCACTAATGGCCAATAAAGAATAGCCTCGGTGTTTAGAATCACAGCTGTTGCAAAGATCCATCCATTCCCCCTTGAATGCTTTGTGAACTTGCTTCTCTACTGGTTTTATCTGTAGTATGTGGCAATTGAATTAATATGGGCCCTGCTTGACATTACATATGTGTGAACACTGGGAAGCAACAGTTTCTGAAAACCAAAGACTTATTTCTGTTCTTTTGTTTATCAGCGATATGCAAAGTCGCTTGCTACATGACCATCAATAAATAGATTTTTCTTTGCCTACTAGTTTGGTCAGCTTCATGGTTATTTGAGAATTCTACTCATAACCTACTCCTGTTGTAATCAAAGAAAGACAAAACAAGACAAGCAAACGTCAATTCCTATGGGTCAGAACACATTGCTAATAACCTTGTAACCAATCTTCCTGCTTTAGTAGCACTGAGTTGCATGATCCCTATTTTTCTTTAGAACTTGCTAACACTTAGTTTTATACAATTAGTGCTCTCTAGCTTTCTAAATTCAGTTAATGTAACAACAGGAACAGCCAAGCGGTCACAAGGAAGCTAAGTAAGCAGATGCAATCAAAGCGCTACCACAAATCATGGCAACTACAGGGAAAAGGGTCATTTCCAGGACACTGAGCCTGCTCTTCCCAGAGAAACTACCACATCAACTAGTCTACCAAACATCCACACTTACTGTCAGAGCATCCTCGAATTTCCACTAATTGCAAAGAGGCAGAAAACACGTATTATTTGTCTTAGGTCAAGATAGGTACATGTTTCATGCAGTGTACTGAATTGGCTATGGTTTGAGAGCGATCATATTATCAGCTAACTAGGATTGAGGAAAATGCAATCTGAGGGACTCATAGGAGAGGCCAAATCCAATTTATAATATCAAGCATGTTAGTTCAAGAAGAGACATTGGAATGACTTGAAACATTGAGAAGATAATAAACATGAAAGGGCTGTCTCCAACTGGCTCACTCTGTATTTGAAGCAGTATTCTTGGCTGGACTGTATGTCCTTAGGGCAGTGACCTTTCAGCTTCCAGCCTTGTGTCTAGAACTGCTGGTGCCCCTGATAACAGCTGTAGCAGTCACTGCCTTTGGGCATGGTAACTTGAAGCAAGCACATGACAAGCGTCTGTCTTTTCTCTCTCAACTCAGCCACATCTCATCAAGCACACTGAATAAGCATCTTGGTTTATGCCAATTCAAAGTGCTGTGTGGAATGTAACAAGAAATGACCTTGATTTTTCCTAAATGTAATGGGGATTCAGAGCAGCTCTCTCCAAATGGGCACTCTGCTGAATCTAAGGCAGACAATCCCATCACCTGGGAGATGAGCAGTGGAACATTGCTCTAAGAGTTGAACTTCCTCACTAATGGCTACCGAACAAATTTTTCAGATAAATTTAACCTTTATATATGTGTAAAATCCAGGGCAGATTTTAAACTTTAGTTCATGTTAACCAAGATTCTTCCTTGGGCTTGATTTGTATACTTGACCTTCCTTGACCTATGGGAGAACAGGAGTGAATAAAGATGAATTTGAACTTCTGACACCTGAAGTTCAATAATGCTCTCTGTTTTTACCTGGAGGGTTTCTAAATACCAATGATTCCCTCTTCACTGAAGGAGACCTTCAAGAGATTGTGAAAACCTTTCCTTCAGCAATGGTTGTTAGTAAGTCATGCTCTCAGTCTCAACATAGCGAGTAAGAACTCAGTGGGCAAAGCAGAAGGTACCATCCTGATTTGGGTTGCTAGATTTGAACAAATTATTTAGCTATGTTCTATAAAAATAAATTTCTTAAATGAGTAATACAATGCTAAAGTTGATACTTGAGGGAACTTCAGAAACATGTCCCCAAGGTACTCTTTAGGTATTGATGGTAACTGTGCTAATGAATTTGACAGAGATGAGAGCAAATAGTCTATAGAATCTTTTGTAGGAAGATAAGTAGCTTTGAACTACTGGAATTTTGTAAATAGCCTCAGGAGACTTCTCTATGCTTAGAATGTTGGAGAGATGACCAGAGGAAGGCTTCAGAATCAAGAAAACTTTGTTATGTGGAAGACTTACCAAACTCAATGTTTTCTAAGAGGAACTATTATGATTGCTTTTCCTATCATGGGTGTATGGAAGGGAAAGGTTGGGATTGTCTCATAAAGGAGAAAACATGAAAACTTTGGGAGGGGTGTAGTCAATCTTGCTCCAGAAATGCCACTGTGCTGCAGCAAGTGGCACTAGGCCCTTTGATTCCAGGTGAAAAGAAAGCACAGGGAGGAAGACAAAAGATCAACAGATTGGTCCACAGAAACTGACAGTTTGAGACTCCTGTCCTTCTAGGATTACAATCAGGTTTAAGGTCTTGCAACAGTGGGTTTTAATGGTCAGGGTCTTTCTAGAAAACCTTGGTTGAGTTTTTATCTCTGTACATCCTTTCTATGGGAATGAGTGAAAGGAAGAGTTAGCAAATGGATTCTCAGTGGCCTGAAGGGGACAGTTTAATTGCATTCTTATTTTTTAGAATTCCACTTTAATTGCAAAGACACTTCTTACCTGTCCCCTATTAGGCACATCAATTTGTGGACTAAATTTAAAAAATAATTAATGAAACCATCTATAGGAAAAGAGGGCACTATTTTGAAAAATCCAGATAAAATACTGAGGCTTCTAAATTAGTGGCCTGATTCTCCATTTTGAAATCTCTATCTTGAGATTTTGAACAGGAAGAGTATGATTTTTAAAAATACTTAGGGAAAATAATGTTCTCCTCTGGGTTTATAATTCTAAAAAATCAAGAGAAGAGGTGCACCTGCTTATATCCTACTGTAGAACTGAAGTGTGGCTCCATTTAAGATCTCAGATGTTAGGACTGTGGATGAGAAGCATGGGAGGTGGGGTGGGTACAGAGAGTTTAGGACTGACAGGAAGTTTCACCTCAAAGTCTTAAGCCCCACCTAATGTACATATTTAACTTTTAAAAGAGTGATTTTCAGCACTTAGAAAACTAAAAATCCAATTTTATCAGCTCAACTAGAAACCATGGTTGTAGGCACTATACATTCAGTAAGGTGGCTGTTCCCGGATCTGAAGAAGATAACTACAAATGAGCTTGTCAATGTGATCTTTTGTAGAGAGGTTAGCCATCCCCCTTCCAAACAAAGCCTCCTAATTTATAGCAGTGCAAATACTTTGCTTCTGACAGATTTATTAGCTTTTTCAAATAGATCTTGGTTTATTCTACACCTAACAATCTGTAAGACTCCACCTTTGTGCCCTCCCTGCTCTCCCCTCAGACAAAGTCTTCTCTTTGGGGAACCCTGTGAAGTGATAGGTGTCACTCACCGAGCCTGGCCTGTTTATAGGACTCCTTGGTTCCCTGCTAACTCCATAATTCCCAACTGGATTTGAAGACCTCTCAATGAATGAGCCAGCATCTGAAATCACTTCTCCTTCTGCCTCCAAACAGCTCTTATAGCTCAGGGCAACCCTGTGAACAACCTTGAGCAGGTCTCCTGGGTAGGCAGCAATGGTGGCATACCTTGAATTCATAGGACTCTTCAATGATCACTTCCAGCTTGGTATGCTCTCCCAGGATGGGACGCCCCAGTTCTGCAATGCGCCTCTCCTCTTCCTCTTTGCTGGTCAGCGGCTGCTTGTCATCACATTCCTCTGGGAAAGGGAAGGCAAGACAGTGAACAACGTGCTCCTTTTTATTTGGAAATCCCTCGATCTTTCTATGAGAAAAGCAAGGAGGAAGGAAGCCTTAGCAACCTGCTTAAAGTCCCTTGGGTAAGAATGTGAAGCTGGAGGGGAGAACTGAACAGACGCTTGGCGGACTGGACAACCCATTACTGAGACAGCACGTGATTATAATATCCTGCAGTCTCATCTCATGGAAAGTGCAGATGAGAAAAAGCAATGCATAGGGGCCTGTCACTGAGAAAGACCCTGCCTGCACATTGTCTATGTTGAGGGAATCACCCAGCTGTTCCCTGTGACGCTGGAGTTGCTGGCTGTCTGCACATTCATTCATCATGTGACCAAAGGGAAACACAACTCAAAGTCCTAGCTTGAACCCAATGGATGGGGGAGTTTGGCCTTTTCCTCTCCACTTTCTGGAGGCAACAGAAAATGCCCTGGGGCCAAAGGGAGGATGGAAAGGAAATTCTGATTTTAGCCTCACACTTGCCAAGAGCCCCTGTCATAAGTTAAGCAGCAAAATTTCCATTCTACGTTTCTGTGAGATGCCTGGACTCCAGGACTTCCTCTCTGGTACAAAACTGAAATGTGTTAGGAAAACCTTGACCATGTTAATCTTAAAGTAAACAGGGAGGGGGAGGGCAGGTCTTGGGGGAGTTAATAATCACTCACCATGTGAGCATGATTATTTCCTGAACCACCATGTACCTTATACCACAGGAGAGGCTAGTGGGTGCTTAGAAAATGTTAATCGACCCAAAAAACTATGAATGAGGGAAAACACACAGTTGACTCTCTCTGCATGAAAGTCTTTTGGATAAATCCCAGACTGAAAAGCCTTGCACACGTGGAGGACAAACAGTTGTCCTGCAATTATTCTTATCCTTCAGGTCCAGAAGGCTGGGATGAGATGGATTATTTCTTCTCCAAGTCAAGTGGAATGAACATCATGTTCAGGGAGGTAGTGGTGGTGGTATGGAAAGACCTCAACCCTTCAGGACATCCAGACAAATTACCTACAGGAGGAGTCTGTTTTCTAAACCATCATCCAGAAGGGAGGGACTTCTTGCCTAGACTTCCTGCTTTTTGCATTTAGGTATCAGCTTCTGCAGGGGTCTACACCTCCCTTGCCCTCTGAATACCCATAGCAACCTCTCTGCTCAGGGATGTTGCTGTGGTGGTTCCATTTGTTGCTGTAGCAATTGTGGCAGAGAATATTTCTTAGGCCAGTTGCATACTGAGAGGGTAGGGGACAGATGTGCTGGAGTCACTGACAGAAGTATGTATTTCAAGTGTCAAAATTTATGGAAACCAAAAGCAGAATGGAGCAAATAATGTCTTCCTAAAAGAATATTTTAACATTCATGTTCCTATCCACAGAAATCTGTAATAACACAAAGGAAATTAGATGAACACTAAAAATAAGTGATCTTAGACTGGGTAGGAGTTGTGGAGTGTTAGCAGAGGCAGAAAAGATGGGCAAGAAGATTAATTTTTAACTGTCAAAGCAACAGTAATTTTTATAATAGGATTGAAAAGGTATAAGCCAAAGGGTTCTGGTTGGGGTCTCCAAGATTTGTCCTTGTGAAATCATACGTGTTTTTTCAGGGAGGTGGCTGATATATGTGAAGTCCAATTTCTCAGTGCTCAAATCTATCAAATCTTGATTCTCACTGCTTCTGATCTTTGAATCCAAGATAATATTATTTGTTGTTTTCATAGCAGTAGGTTTTATTAGTGTCTTTGTTCAAAACTTTGGCTGAACATGGATGTCTTCAAGACTTGTGTTGAGTAAGAAATATTTTCTCAGAAGAAGAAAGCATTGGATATCTATTTGAATTGCACAGCTATCAGTGGAGAATATTTATTATGGCCTTTTCTGTAATTTATTTTTAAACGACAAGTTGCTTTTAGTAGGACTCAAGGTAATTTAGGTAAGAAAACAGAGCAATTATGAGGGAAAGGTGATGTAGTAAGATTGTTTACTGCAGCACTTCACAAAATGAAATTTATTTGTGTCTTGGTATTAAATAAATGGACACAGTAGTATATAAAATAAGATCATCCAGTGAGTGAAAAGGTACTTTCTTTTTTAAACCTTCAGTCCTTCTAATCAAGAACAAATACATAGTTTGATGCTGTTAGGTCTGTAACTAGGTACTAGTTACCTAACAGCTTCTACCATTTTAAGACAGAGAAAATAGTTATCAGACATGGAGCATTTGACAACATCTAGCCAGATTTTAATAACATTTCTTTTGCTGTAAAATTTCATGAACTTACTTTCTACTTCTGGTAAACAATACCAGGTTTTCTTATGTTCATAACTTAAAGTTTTCTTGTAAAAAATTCTGTGAATAAAACATGAGGATTTTTAAAAATTACATTAAGTAAATAATAGAGTTGGATATACAACCAAAGCAAAAATTGTCAAAGAGTTATGAGAATGACAAAAAATTTAGGAAATTGTGTCTTAACAGATTTCATACTAATGTAATGAAAGTAAGGCACCTTGTTTCTATCACTTTCTACTCACTTATCTACTTGGAAAAGTTCTCCTATCTCCATCTACTAAATCCTACTTATATTTCAGAACTTCTCTTTTTGATGAAATATTCCCCAACTGACAACCAGGGATTTAGCCATTAACATTATAATCTTAAATTCATTACTTAATATTTATCATATGTACTGAACATTGTCTTGTATACTTTTAAAATTAATTTTAATTCCTTTCCATATAAATACCTAGCATGTAAAATTGCTGAGATAGAACAGTATGTGTCATTACTCTCTGAACTGTCCTTCCATCCTCCAGGATTCATGACAAGGTATAGAATGTGGAATAGGTCACTCTCCAACTCACTGTTAGCAAAGTCTTGTTTGTTCTATTCATAAAAAGGGATCATTTATTCTTTTAACATGTGTCATTGCATTCCTTCAAAATGTCAGCACAGTTGTAGTGGTCTAGTGGGAACAGAGGCATTTAGGTGAACAACTTCTAGTACAATGTGGTAAGGAGGGAGGGACCTCCCACAGGAGGAACAACTTGTTTTGCCTAAGGGAGTCAGAGAAAGCTTCTGGAAAGAGGACGTATTTGAAATTGGCCTTGAAACATGCCAAGTGAAGATGAGGGTAAGGATGGTTAGGAGGAGAGGGGATGAGGAGGTGCATTGCATACAAAGAAGTCAAGTGCAAAAGCACAGTCTCATGGAAGTGTAAAGGCTATTTTCACTTACTAAGTCTTATGAACATTTAAAAGACAGTTATATTTATATGTAATTGAGAGATAACAGCTACATAAATCCTACTACTGCTCTATAATGATACTAATAAACTAGGATTTATGGTTTAGGTTTCTGATACTTGGCAAAGAAGAGAGCTGAGTTTTTAAAATTTTTTTAAAAAGTGTTTTCTTATATACGTTTACCTTTTACTGAATAGGGAAATGGTTTGACAGCATTTTTTGGATGAGCTATTTTATTTGTTTCCTTTCCACTTTCAGCACTGGATCAAAAGCAGAGCATTTTGTTATAATCAAGGTCACTTTATTTTCTTATTTATGCTGAGTGGTAACATGCTGCTGTTTGAGTTTTGTTTTTTAGACAGAGAAAATTAATTCTCTCTCACCTCTTCTTTTGGGTATACACATACACTTTCAGAGTTCACAGAGTTTTATTGAGAAGTTGTAAATAATTACACAATATCATAGTCTTGACCAACCAAAAGAACTTAAAGATCAAATGCATTATTAACAGCCACTGTTAAAAGTCAATACTGACAGAACTTAAAGCACCCCTGTGACAAAGTCACCAATGGGGAATCTCCCATGTTCTCAGTGATTGATTTCACAAACAACAAATAATGAAAATTAACCGATCCCTAGGATCTGGAGAAAGCAGAATTATGAAAAAGCTGCTTCCAGTGTCTCCTGGCTCAAGCTACATCTTGAAGCACCACATCTTCACTTCATCTTGAAGTGAAGAGGTGAGATTAGGAATCTCCGTTAGAAGACAATACAACCCACATGGCCATTTCAGTGGAGGCCTGTATCTGAGGAGCAATTTGTTAATATTCTTTGATATAGTCACAATTTTCAATCTTAGCAATCAGTGTAGAATTTGGCAAAAGGGACAGTGGTACAATTTGCTCAGCAATATCTTGACAAATCTGAAAGCAGAGGTCACTGGACAGTACCTCACTGACCTCTCTGATTGGAGCCCAAAAGGATTGGCACTTTTATTTCCTTGAGGACTATCCTGGAACAACTCTGCAGTTAGGTCTTGGTATTATGATTAATGGATGTGGGTGTGGGGTATGAGGATGGGAAGTCCCACTGAGTTAGGTAGAAGTGCTTCTGCCACCATGGCAAGTGATGGGCAGTAGTGAGTGAAGTCTCATTCAGAGACTTTGTGCCAGGAGATGCTATTTAGGCTCTAAACCTATAGTAGATCTGAAATAGTTGTATAATCTTCTAGCACTCTGTCAATGTTCCTTTTCTCCCCTATGGAGAAATTCACATTTGAACTCTCACCTGTGCCTCAGGAAAAGCAGATTCTGGGAAGAAATAAAGCTTGGCTTTTAAAGAAATTTCATTATACTTGGATAAAACACTCATGCGGAGGAAGAAATAGTTGTAAGAAATCTGGCATATATTGAAACTTGAGAGGGAGAGGTTATTGGGTGAATATCTCCATAGATCCATGCTGTTCCTCCACAATTCCTCCCATTCTGCCCTGATATGGTTGAGCTTCGTTGCTATTCCATGGCACCACCAGCTCCTAAAGGGGCCACTGCATCATATTTAGCAATGCTTTAGAGGGGACAGAGGTTAAAATATATGAATCTAATGTCTAAGACCCAAAAGGACACTTGAAGGCTGTGGTTTTCAGGGACTATGATGAAATGAGTACCTGCAATGGTGATTACAGTAGAGGGAATCGGATGTTCTCTAGCATGAACTTTCCTGAAGACAGGTTGGCCTAGCAAAAGGACAGGCAGAAAGTCAGCAGAATAGATAGCGTTGGTTTGTTATCAGAACTTTGTGGACATTAGTAAGCTAAACATTACACCCAGATGCACACAACTGCAAGCAATGTTAGTCTGCAGATTGAGTGGTCATAGGTTACCCGTATGTAGGTCAAAGGAGCTCTGGTGGTTACTGATGGAGGAGACTGCACACGAATGAGGCAAATGTTCCAGGAGCCAAAGCAGATTCTGTCTGATATGTATGATAATGATCCCTTGCCCTATGGCAGGGTTACAGTCAGAGTCCTGCAGGTATCTGAAATGGAAGAGCCAGGTCTTTCAAATTACTCCTTCCATAGGAAAGCACTTGGTGTAATGAAAGGTGTTCTACTTTTAAAGCCTAATATGGCCTTGAATATGCCATCTCTTCAGTTGTCTCACATATAAGCTGTGGGTAATAGTACCCGCTCAATGTTACAAATTTGTTTGAAGGTCAAGTTATGTGATGTCAGGGAACATGTTCACTGCATTTATTTATTGAGCAGTCTGTAGCATGTCATATACACTTCCAAGCTTCATGAGGGCAAGTCATCAGCCCAGAAACTGTCTGGATTAACCAGGCCTAAGGTTTTCATTGAACTCCTGGTTCAACTGACTGTCAGATTCACCTGTTTTCTTCTGCCAAGAGCTGTTCAAAATTGACCTGGGAATCATGATACTTGGGGCTCATTGCCAACTCTGCCATTTAAGCATGGGTAAGGCCTTTCTTCCCTTGGAGGCTCAAATTTCTCAGTTGTACAACAAAGCAAACATGTAGGGCCTTGGTTCTTTCAACCCATATGTAGTTAGAGTGATGGAAATGTTTTCAGCTGTCAGAATTTCTGTAGTTTGGCCTTCTTAAAAAGGATTGTACCTTAAGTCTGCTACCATGAAAATAGTATTATTGGAAGAGTAATATTAAAAAGATATTGGATGCTATATAATTTTAATTAGGGAATGCTATGACTGGATGTCTTAAAAGTTCTTTTTCCTCTCCATATTGAAGTAGAATACAAAATTTTATTAAAATAGCCATATTGATGTGTGCTAATGTCCCCCTTTTGGGATCTCCTTTATTTTTCCTTTGACTAGAATTCATAATGATGGCATACTTAAAAGACAACCTGGGGTCAGGGTACAATTTCAAGATGCAGGTAGAATAATGTTGGAGTTAGGATAATCATCACATGGTCTTTTACTTAAAGCTAGAGGGCCCGGCTGTGAATCTTGGATATTAGATTTAGAGTAGAAGATTAATCTACTGGAGCCTTTTCCCTTCCCTATGTATAAGAACAATAAAATCCATAAGAATGGTGGTAAAATGGTAATCATGACAAACTCTAATGAGCTGTAATGTATAGGGTGTTATCATAAGATTGGAAGGTCAAGGGGGAATGAGATCATAGATTCAAACAAGGGCCTTTTAATGAGGCAAGGTCTAGAACAACAGGAAAAGATGTGTAAATTCCAAAAGCACCTCCAGCACTTAGTGTCCACCACTAATGAGATCACTAAAATATTGTTATTAAGCTATGGAATGGTCTTTTCAATTTCCATATATCTTGCATCAAATTTAGATGTTCACATTCAGCTGCAATTCCATGTAAAAGGCTACACACAAAGTCCAGGGGCTAGATGAGTTCTTTCTGCTTTTCCTCCATCCAAAGCCTTGACTTCAATGTCTCAAACTGACTTCAAAGAAAAGCTCTTTATGCTTTAAAGCGGGTATTTTACTGTGTAGACCTAAGTTTCAGAACTTTCCTCAAGGCTATCAATAAAGAATGAATCCTGAGCATTCTGGTCTGATTCAGGAGAAGGATGATATAAAGTGAGACAGTGTCTAGATAAATAGAAATAGGACAATGCAGAAATTCCCAGAGAGCTCTGGAGTATTCTCTGGCTCTAACTGCATTGATTTCAAGTATATGGAGGAGGGATGTAGCTCGGTGGTACGGCACTTGCCTAGCATGCGTGAGGCCCTGGGTTCAATCCCAGCACCAAAAAAGAAAAGACAAAAAAAAAAAAAAGTAGTTGGAGGAAATGATAACTATAAAAAAAATTGCTATTTTAGGTTAAAGTTTCAGCCCTCAGGAAGAGCTTCATCAGGGTGAACTACCTGACATGGTAGAAACCTTTGGAGAAAGTGATTTTCTCATCTTGGATGCAAGATGGGGCTAAGGAAGGAAATGATGAACATTTGATAGGTAGATATGATAGAATTTGCTATGAAGAATTTCTGAGAAAAGAAAACTCAGATTCTATTACCTGAGGCACTAAAAGGGAAGATGATTCAAGCGACATGGAAGGAAGGTCCCAGTAATGAAATCCTAACATATTTAATGATAAAGAAAATAGGAAGACATCCAAAGACATCAATCCACAAGACATTTATACACAAATATTTTCAGTGAAGATCTTGTTATCAGGCTACATAGGACTGAAGGTGTACTAGATAATATATTCTTTCTACAATGGTTGATTTTAGAGAATTGATTACTTCCATGAAGTAATGAAGGCTGACTTTTCAAACTTTAACTTTCTCCAAATCTCTCAAGGGTAAACAATTCATCCTTGGGTGATAGAATCAGAGTATTCCTGAGAAGACTTTAGTGAGTTAAAAATGATCAGATAAGGAAGGAAGATTAAAGTTTTTAAAACCTCATGTAAATTCCTGCACTGGGGTTCATAAGTAATTTTAGTAGTAAAGAATTGGGCAAATCTAACCTGGTAGAGGTTCAGATGAATCAGGTATAAGGAATCCTACATGAAGACTTATCCTGATTAGCATTTTAAAATTTTTTACCAGTATTGGGAGTTTGAACTTTGCACTTGCTAGGCAAGTGCTCTAACACTTGAGCCATACCCCTAGTCCTGTGTTTTAACATCTTTATTCCTTTCAATTTCGGTGTCTCTGAGAATCTATGAATCATTTTGTTATTAAATGTTGTATCTAGAAAGAAGCAGTTGAAAGCAATAGTCCATGTGAAATTTCCTGTATTTAGAAAGTTCCAGTTTGGACAGAATCACTTTGGAATCACTATAAGTCAACACTAATGATTGTTTATACTAGCTACAACTTCCACCATAGTGTTTTCAGTACTAGAAATTTTGGCAATATTTCCTCCTAAATATGTTTGTTAAAATTTCCATATCTGCCAATCATATTGGAAATTTTTGATATTTGCACAATATATATTTTTTAAAAAGCCATGTAGAAGATAGGATGTAGACCATCAAAGCCATCTTCAACAAACCAGAGTTATTGTTTGATATTCATCTTCCTTTCTACATTTGCATGGACTATCTGAAAGGTGAGCAGATATTTAGGGTCAAAAGAGGAAGCTGTTAGGAAATACTTTCTATTTATGCCCAAGAAAATAGTTTTAGAATAGTGTTAAATAATGCAATCAACACTGAATGATACTATTTCAAATTTAGGCAATTTAAGCTTTCTGTTTGGTATTTTGAGTTTTTTTACAGAGCACGCTGTAATGCACTTTAAGTGGTACTTGTTACCAAATTATTAATAATGAAATTGAGTTCAAAGGAGATTTAATTGGTGCAGTAGGATGAAGGGAAGGGGCTTCTCTGTCTTCTTCCAACCTGGTATTATTTATTAGAATCCTCAGCTTGGACAATGGATCAGTCTTGAGTGACATCTCCTCCATGGCTCTGAGGCCAGAAATTGTGTCTTACTTATTCTGGTACTGTATGCATCTTCTATCAAAGCACTTTATCAGTGCTATGAGAACATTTGTAAGTTGTCTTGGGTCAAAATGTGAACAATTCTAGGCTCTCCATATGAATTTTCTTAAAGTAAACACAATATCACACACACACATGTTAATTTGTAAAATGTTAAATGTGTAAAACTCCAGCAAGAGCACACCATGTGCCACAATTCAACGTTAATGCAGGTTATATCAGATGTGGGTTTGGTTTCATCTTAAGATTATTTGGGGGGAAATAGGAACTATTAAATTTATCTTACCATACAGGTATTTTCCTTTATTAAAAGCAAACAAAAATGAGTAATGATTTTTTAAATGCAATAACATGTTGAAAGCAGACAGTAAACATAAAAGTAGGTAATACTAGACTTAAAATTTCATACCTGTTATTGTGAAGCCACCTAAAAAAGAAAAAAAATTAAATGTTACAATTTAACTTACATTCTACATGTAAACTATCTGTGACATTAGACTGCCTGACAACCCACCCAAGCTATAAAAAAACTTGCCAAATTTACAATTAAGAAGAATATAAAATCATCCATTTATGACAGATCATTAATTCTTTTAAAATTATGGAACTGAATACACAAATTATTTTTAATTCTTGAAATGCTTGAGAAATCACTGATTTTTAAAAAGATTATACTGAATTAAAAATGTAATATAAATGATTTGACCTTAACCAAAATGAGGCCAGTGGTCCTAAACAGCAATTTCACTAGCCAATCAATACAGATAAAAATCAGAGAGCTATTGTATCACCTAACAGAAATGGAAAATAACCTAGAAAAATGGAAAGGAAGTGCAAGAAATGAGATGCTTACCAAGCTCATTCAATAACAGGGCTGTGAAGGAAACAAAGACAAACACAGAATAAGAGACCAGATGAATAATGAAAGTCAGTAAGAGGAATATCAGCAGAAAGAAATCCAGGCAGATCTGATTAGAATGATAAAAAAGCTACTGCTACAAAAAAAAATGGGTGCACCCTAAGGAAATGTGGTGTTGGGACTATTTCTACATAAATGATCCCAACAGAATTATCTGCAAATGGGTTTGATTGGAAAAAAAATCGTCTTATGTCATTTCTTTAATTTTAATAAGATATTTCTACTGTACATGCTTATACATAGTGTATATAGCTTCAAAATATAGTAGAAACATGAATGAAGTTAATCCTTATCTTGATTTGAAGAGATTTTCCTCATTAAAATTGAGTTAGTGAGCTCAGAATTTGGAGTTCTTAAATTACACAGGATCTCAGATATCATATGTGTTAATCAATAGAACAGGTAAGATATCCTAAGAAATTGCAGCTTGGGTGTCCTGCCTGGGAGGAGACCTTGGCTCAGGGTAAGTCAGTATCTCTCACTCTCTCTCTGGGGATATTCTATTTGGATGATATTTTGGCCCTCAAGAATTGCGTATGTTTATAAGAGCCCCAGGAACTAATACTTATCTATGTGCTCTTATCAGAAACTTCTGCACATTACTGGATAACCAGAGGCTTCTTGTGGTCATACAACTCCACAGAAACTGACAGGCAGCAGGAAGGTGAGGGAATTGTGTAATTTGTTTTTTAGGCTATGTCCTTTAAGCCCAGACTGTACCACTTTATTTTAATAAAAGCTACCTGGCTAAACATATGAAATAAATTACCTGAGTTGTTGGTGGGAACCTTACAATTACTTTTTTAGGCACATCCCCTCTGCTGGTAGTGGTATTAGATGGTACTTTTTTTTTCTTTTTTCTTTATTTTAGTTTATTTAAAAAAAAAAAAACAAGTCAGTAATTTTATTTACAGCAAGAAGAATCTACTTGGCAGGTGTGAAACTAGAGAGTGCCATCAAGGAATTTTAATTTGCTTTTACATGAAGGCATATTTTACTAAAATGACAATTGAAAGAGCTGTATCCAAGATGCTCTTCTTTGAGATTAAAAAACAGTTCTTTGGAGGAATACATTTAGAACTAAGTGCTTTTTCCAGGATACTAATGAGCCATTTTTGATACCATTATTGTAAGACATCAGCACAATTTTTTGAAATCTCTTTTCTTTCCATTTACTCCCTATGGAGCTTATTAGATAGGCTGTGTTAATGGGTCCCAGAGACTCCTTTTTCCATCACTCCAAAGGCTCCTGTCACCATTTTGAACATGATTAAGTCAGGAACATATACTTTTTAAAAAAATCTCTGATAGACCCTGAAGTCAGTGAGCTACCACCAATAGTGTGAGATTAAATTCTCACAAATGTTGGGTCAATAAGGGAATTAGTCTTATGTATTTCATTTTTCTCCTTTACATGTAAAAAATAAATTTCTTGTAATGTGGTCCATCTAATCTCCTATACTGCTCTTACCAACTGTTTGATATTATTAATAAGAGCTATTAACATGTGGTATGCTCATTTTTATATATAATTATATCAATTTCTTTTAAAGTGGACAGTGCTAGAGGATAATTATAGGAAGCCCTAGTAGTAATTCAGAATAAAAAAATCTGTGAAGCTGGCAAAAAATTTTTGTTCTCCCTTATCCATTATAGGCTAAATAAAAATAGACTCAATGTTCAAATATTTTCTAAAACTGCAAGTATGAATCAAAAAAGTCTAGTTATAAAGATACTGCTACTTAGTTTTCCTTTTTACTATTTATGGTACCTTTTAAATGTCATATCTGATGATATGAAAAACATCATGCCAAAATGAACACTATTCTTTAAGGATCTTTGTCCTTACTAATTTTTTAAAAACCGGGGTCTCTAAAATGATTAATTCTGACTAACTCTTCTGAAATTTCTTCTTAGTTGCCATTAGATTTATCAGCTGCTACTAATCAGTATTAAGTAGTTTTCTTTATCTTATAGCTTCATTGAGGTATGATGGACAAGATATTAAATAGTTTTTATGGCTAACATTTTAAGGGAGATTTAATAGCTGCAGCCATATTATAAAATGAACCCCAAGTAGTGATACACATTCTTTTATAGCATCATTTCTGAATTACAGAAATCTCTTCTAGTATTTATTAAATCTGATTTCAATCAAGGTTAGTCAGCATTCCCCAAAGAAAATGGGCATTGCTTGGTGCACTTGTTAATTAGGAAGGGGAAATGAACCTGCTAAGCTTCAAAGGCAATAAGCTTAGTACTTGGAAGCCGAGGAAGAGGAGAGAGTTAAGTGTGAGAGTAGGAGACACGGAGAGAGAAGAGTACAATTTCTCGCTGGTATGTCTTTGTATACTCTCACACCTTTCATTCCTCTTCTTATCCATTTTGGTTCCTCAAGCACAAGGGAGAAACTGCACTCTTTCTCATATTCCTCACGGTCATATATTCTAATGGAAATGATCTTCCTGTGGGAACACAAGACAAAGGCAAAACAAATGGTTGGAGTCACACGCTCATGCTCTGGTATGTCCACCAAGCTGGATGTCACTGTGATGTTACGGAGGGAGGATGGCAACACATGGACTTCCAGGTGTATGTAAAAGGGCATCTTGGGTATTCTCAGCTGGCCGCCATTAAGTTTTCTATGCTAAAGTATCCCTTGCACAAATTCTTCCTGCTTTAGTTAGCAGTCACTAGGTATCCGAATTAGGAAGGTAAATCAGAAAGTTGCCTTCATTTTGATAATGCATACTATCTGCATCAGCTTTCCTAGAAATGGAAGTTGATCCACTGAACTGAAAATCAATCTTTTAGGCCTGGAATGAGTAGAGTGGCCATAACTGGCAGATGTAGCTACAAGCCAGGCCTGCTGTGGCCAGTGTGAGATCTATGCCCTGTTACATAGGTGGGAGGATGTGTGCATTGTAAGTCATGTTCTGAAGAGTGCAGGCATCCAGGGAGGCACAGGTCAGCAGAAGCTGTTGGGCTCAGCCCTGGAGCAGCTCCCCCACCTTTCTTCTCACTCATTTCCACCAGGCGGGGCTCTCCAATCTCAAGGAAGAAGGTCTTGTTTTTCTCATACTCCTCATCATCAATTACCTTGACTGATATTGTTTTGCTGAAACAGAGAAGAGTAGAAATTGACGAACAAGAGGAAGAGAAAAGAAAAGGTACATACAGAAGAGGCAAGGTTAAAGAGGTCACTGAATACACATCTGCCTGGCTAGGGCCACAGAATTAACTTAGGCAAAGCATATACTCAATATTAATAGGTTTGTCACCATCATGAGAAAGAAAAGCAGAGAAACACAGATCACAATAATAAGAAAAGAAAAAATATATTTATTTAATAAATGCTTTAACCGTAGAAGCAAGTTATTTGAGCTCTACCCTGGAATTCACTCCTTTAGAACAAATCAATAAATCACAACAAAATATTAACGGAAGTTATCTCTGAGTAGTAGGTTGATGGATCATTTTTTCCTTCATAATGCTTTACTATATTTTAAAACATAATACTTTTTCATAAGATTTTTTTGAAATAATAAGTGTATAAAAGCATCACAAAATAAAATACAGTCTTTTATCTTTCTCCATCCAGTGACCTAGAATCTAACTCTTATTCAGGTTAGTCAGATTTTCCACCTAGACCACAACAGGAAATTGTTCATGTTTTGTTTGCCTTTCTAAAGATGGAAGCTGTGTCCTCAAAACAGCTGTTTTGAAAGTGGGGTGGCAGTGGCGGGGGTGGAGAGAACTCATGATGTTGTAGTTATTTTCATCCCTTCCAAAGTTGCATTTTAACTTTCACTAACTACACCGTTTACTCTACTTTCGAACTCCACTGATACAACAAGGTGATTCAATAAGAATTCTTTCTGTAATCCAACGTCCACCTGTTCTTGCCCTATGGTTCTATGACTATGAGTGACTGACAAGTAGGTAGGACAAATGCAAATATGATGCAAATCCCAACTTCCAGTAAGCATCTTTGACGGCTCTGAAAATAAATCAATCTAATGTTATCTTTTAATTAATAAAGGCTTAAACATGTCACATTCTACCACTTACTCAGAGTCCCATAATTGCTGATTTGCTTTTTAAAAAAAATTAATTAACATTAGCTAAGAACATTTCTGATTAAAGTTTTTGAAAGAATGTGTTGTTATGGACATGAAGTTTTAATGGCGTGGACATTCCTTAATGTTGGTGAAGTTTTTAGGTCTTCTGAGGGAAATTGGTTGACAATCCTGTTTTTATTTCATTGATCAAAGCCATCAAGTTTCATTTAGACCTATGTCTTCTATTGAGCATAAAGTCTCTTTTTTTTAGCATGAAAGAAGCATAGTTAAAAGATGTTTTTCAATCTCTGGGTGTCCCAGCCCCTAATGTCAAATGCTTAGTTTTGCTTTCTTGGCTTAGCATTATAGAAGTAAGATCAAATGTTGTTTCTGGTCTTTTGGAGCCTCATTGTATTGTCTTTTTCTTATCTAAAAAACATCACTGCATGATGCTAACACCCGAATTTCTCACATCTAAGAAGTTAGAGTTCACTAAAGGGTCTTTTCTTCCTATCTCAGCTTGAACCTCAAAGAGTAGCAGTAAGTAACCATCCACTGATGAATTGGTAGGAAAATGTGTTACCTATACACAATGGAGTTTTACTCAGTCATGAAGAATAAAATTATGTCATTTTCAGGGAAATGGATGGAACTGGAAATCATCATGTTAAGTGAAGTAAGTTGTCCCACAAAGACAACTATTGCATGTTTTTCCTGCTATGTGAAATCTAGGGAAAAAAAGGACATGAAAGTAAAAGGGGAACTAGGGTAGAAGAAGAAAGGGAAAAGGTGGAGGGGGAGGAGGGAAGAGAAAGGGTAATAGAGGGATGATTATTAAAATGTATTTTATGTCATGAAACACACTACTTTGTACAATTAATATCTGCTTATAAAATGTAATATAAAATGACTAACACTAGGTGAACACTTATAAATGACTAAAGGAAGAATCACTTATTTTAAAGTAAATAATTGCAAAACTACTAGCAATATGACAAAGTCCAATTACATGTAGGGAGTGTCAAGTTCCTGCCTAATTTTTAGAACTATGTTCTGGAATATTTACTTTGTACATATAAAAATAAGCCTGACTTGACAAAAATGGGGTATTTAATCATTCCTCCATAGCTAAAAAAATATAAAATATTAGATGAAGCCCAAGAAGACAGACATAAGGCATGATGATAAGTATACTACTTCAGAACTGAATCTGATATTATAATTTAGATCAAATTTACCTTACAGAAACCTACTGATTGTCTCTTTTTTGTTAGCAAAACTTATGCTCTTTAGGTATTAATTTCCATCTTATAGTCTTATAATTTTGAACTTTGATTTTACATCTCTACCAAAGCAACTAGCACTATGACACCAAAGAAGAGAAGTATAAGGGACATTGAAAGGTTCATGCCAGTGTCCTCAGGACTGATGGCCCAACATTCACTATCAAGGCACTTCATCGTACATCTAACTGGAATGCACCCATTGCAAGAGAGTCCTGTGGTGATGTTGTCCCTTGTATTCAATAAAAGACTTTGACTTTTTATTTCTTTATCTTGTATTTCCAGCCCACATCTCATCACATATTTTATTAGAAATAAAGAAAGCACAGTCAGATGGTTGGAGTAGCCTTGCTAGTGAATGTTTGTATAGGAAGGGTATGAAGTTTATGTGCAGGAGGCAACTTAACAATTTATCCACAAATAATCAGAAGCAATCAAAAGGCATATTGTTTCTTATCCTTGGAGGGCATTGTAGTTATTCCTCTCTTGTTGTAGTAGCTTATTTCCTATACTCTCAATAACTGATGAGTGTGAGAAATAGATTTATAAGCACTATACAATTTGTTTGTATATTAAAATAGTCATTTACAATTTATCAGTAGAGTATCACTACTCACTAGGATATAATCCTTAGAAAATATTTCAGTATTTAATAACTGACAAAGGAAAATGAAAGATGAAGGAAAAAAAGTACATTTGTAGGTATCTTGTAAAGCCATCTAAAATAGATGGCATTTGCATAATAGCATATCATTTCAAAATCATTACTAATAGAATCAATAGTACTTCTGACAGGAAAAGCCATTAAATTATATATTGATTTCGCTTCTCTTGCAGAGTAAAGCTATTAATAGGAAACATGATTATTAAAGGACATTTCAGTAGATCTAAAGTGGCAGGATGAAGTCAGTCTTTATGAGTTAGTCTTTTAAATCAAGAGAGGTATCATCATGTTCACATTTTGCTTCAGAACAGAATAAGTCCACCCCTAAGCAAAAGTAGCAAAGATGGAATTAGCCAATGTCATTTTCAGAGGAACACATCTCAAAGAACATGCAACCCAATTCCCTTCTTCTCACTTTCTGGAGCCTAATGCATGCAGATACAGCTGCCAATTCTTCCACTACAGTGTATTTACAAACAATGGGGTTGGTTTGATGAAGACTCCGGTTATATTGGTTTGATAAGAAGCAGAAACATGCCTCTGTCTTTCACAGTTCTGCAGTAGAAATGGAACCTTAAGGACAGAAGGGAACTAGAGGATCCTCTAATCTGTCCCATTGCTACACCAATCCCATGTCACAGGGATCGCATCTCCCTGAGAACACAGATCTATGTTGGCTCTTCTGTTCTCTTTACCAATGGAAACAGTCAGATGGATATTATTGTTTCATTAAATTGACACATTTACAAATTCATGAGTGAAACAGTTGGGTGGATGTAGCTCTTTATTCAAATGTAACTGCTGTATTGTTAATGTATTAATAAAGAACAAATAGAAAAACTGGTATCATGCGATTTTTAACTACCAGAATTATTATAAAGAAAGTAAGGAAAATTCGCTTGATTTTTTTTTTAATGGAACTCTATAAAGCTGAATATTGTATTTTAAAATTGTATTTTCTGGAAACTAGCAAAGCAGTTACAAATCTTATGATAACATTAAAACTTTCTCAATGTGGCCAAAGTTTTTATGGAAGTTCATTTTTGTTCCATTTCTAGAAAAAATTTTAAAGTTAAGAAAGAATCAAGTTATTTAGTGGAAAAATATAGATCATTCCTTTGATCTTTTCAGTGCCTTTCATGTATGATACCAAACCCACATCTATACTTTAGTGCTTAGTCTCTCTGCTGTCTGATGGGTCTCAGAGGACGCCAACCCACACCCTTCAAAGAGACTAACAAGAAGTCTTTATAACTGGTGGTGAGTCAGGCAGAGGTAAGGAAGGAAGGAGAGATCTGGCTTGATTAGAAGAGACTGAAAAAGCAAAGCTCTTCAAAATATATTTTATTCTTTCTTTAAGTCAAAGTAGTATCATAGTCTCTTTGTTTCTCTCTCTCTCTCTCTTTCTCTTTTGTTTTTGCCTATTTAAGTCTTGATTTGTCCTTCTGGGGTTTCTTTTCCCTAAGACTGCCATTGATGTTGGAAGAAGATGATAACAAGATGAATTGGAGGATTAGAGAGAAGAGACTCTTTTTTCAATCCTCACACAAAATATTTTAGTAGGAATTTCACATATTTAGATGCTGCAGTGGCTTTTGCTTTGTTTTTATTTTGGTTTTTAAAGATTACCCTCACTTTAGGCATGCTCAGAGGTCAAGAAAATGATGGACACTTTGAATTTCTTAATTTAAGGATCTTCCTAGCAGTTCTAGAAATAATGTTTACCACCTATAATTTATAGAGAAAACAATGATTCTCAGAGAAGTTAGTGATTTCCAAGGTCATGAGATGTTTTACCCGCAGCTGTCTCTAAGGTCCACAGTCTCCAAGTATGGGACCCATAATCAACCATCAGCTTCTTGATTCATTCAACTGTGTGCATTTTTTTTATTGTCAAAATAATTTACTACAGGTCTCAAGTGTATATAAAACATTTTAGTGCAGCATCTCACAAATAGTTTTTTCTTTAAAAAAAATAATAAATCAACAGCTCTATATATCATGTAAGGGTCATTTTCTTACTACCCCCGCCTTTTTTCCTCTCAACAGTTAATGCAGAGAAACCATTGTTTAAAAAAAAATAGAACTTGCTACAGAAACATCC